TCTGTTACACGAATCGTTGAACAGGGCAAGAGTGACTAGCGATATTCTTAGATATATTTCTACGAATCGTGAAATTTGTCTGGAATATCAGCATTGGAAGTACGGAATATGGGATATATAAAGTGTCGGGAGAACTTTAGATATACCTGTTGTTTTCACTGAGTTAATTGGTTTTATTTAGTACTTTTATACTAATTCTCCCTTTTTTTTTTTTTTTATATTCTAGTGTTTTTCTCAAATTAATGTACAAACCGAGTTGATCTTATGCTCAGATGTAACTTATTTCCCATTAAAAATGGAAACGGGTAAAATGGCGAGTCGGCACCTTCAAGATCTTAACCTACGAACGATTTATTTGACGGATTGGATAATTCGTAGTATATAATATTTAGTAAGATAAACGAAGTAAATCTTATTATTTAATGCTTTACTATGATCAGTCTATAAAATAAATCAATTATTTTATGGTATTTTTATATGATAAAATTATTAATCTTATTTCATAAACTGAGATAGTAAATCATTGAATAACTATATATTATTCGGGATATCGTAATTCCTATACTTTTGAGTATATATGGTTTACAAATTTATAGATTTAAGTCAGTTGCATTTGATTAATAGAACTTATAGATATTACTTTTTTTTGTATTTTTAATAAATGGTTTAAATATTTTTCACATATAAAATCAATTATAGTATTAATCATTTGAAAGGAATACTAACATTCTTGAAATAATAATAAAGTATGAATTTTTAAAATACCGGTAATAATAAAATATGAATAAGCTACTATAGATACAGGATTCGGATATTATAAGAGTGATAGAAATACCTCGACGTTATCAACGTGAGGTTTAATTCCACCAGTTTTAGATAAATCTAAACTATGAACTGGTATCCATTCAATATTTTTCGGAAAAAGATCATAAAATTTTTTATTAAAAATTTATATTATTTTATCGGTTTGGTCGTCCCAATGAGAAGCTTGACATTCTCTATAACTATGAATAACATCATCGAAATGACTATCTTTATAAATTATCTCTTTACCAAAAACTTTTTTCAATTTTTTTTTTTGAAGTTTGATCAAGAAGAAATTCTTGTTCGGAAGAATTGAAATGTTTAGGTAAAAGAATGAAATTTTTAAGTATGAATTTTGCAGTATCGGATGATTTATTAGAAAGATCAAAGAATTTTGAAATTTCGGGAGAATTTTTTATCATCTGATGATTATTTGAAATAATGCTTGAAAAGTTTGATTTATAACGGTATAAATATCTTTGAACACATTTCTTATTATTCTATAATTTGTAATAATTTTATTAATTTATATTATTATCAGTCAATAACATTACAATTGTTATCATAATAGATTAGATCGGTATATCGATAATAAAGTAATATAAAATAATTTTTTTTAGAATATAATAAATTACAAAATTAATAACTTTTTTATTCTAATGAATATTAACTCAAAGATCTAATATGTAATAATCTATATATCCACAGTTACATTGTACAAAAAAATATATTTATACATATACATATATATATATATATATATATATATCAATACTTCACTTTGATTTTCTGCCTAATTTGCGTCTACGTGTTTGACTCCTTTGGTTGTCACCAGCCTCACTACGTTCATCATCGCTGGAAAATGATTCTTGATCATCACCAGATTCTTTCATATTAAGATTACGTTTTTTCTCGAGTCCTATCGCAGCCTTAAATTTACTTAAAATAGACTTAGAAATCAAAATTGGGAATAATTCACCAAAACTAGGTTTGGATACTTCATCTTCGTCTAATACAAATTCCTCACCCTCATCTGTAAGAAACAAAACATTATCACTATCAACAATGAATTGTTTTTCATTTACGCAAACTCTCTTTCTAGTATTTTGTTTTTTCATTCGTTTTCCCCAAGCAATTTCCCTGGCCTCTTGTATAAAGTATCTAACTCGTTTTTTTTCTTGATAGAAATTCACCCACATTACAATATAATGAAGGAATGAACTCAAAATTAGAAGACCAACTACGACTCCGGGAAGACCAGGTCGATATCGATTATAATACCACCCAGTTCCACGCCATTTTGGAACGCCGTTTTTTAAGAAAAAGTTATAACGTTCTCGAGATTCTGAATTACGAAGTATTGTTGTAATGGAACCTAATAAGGCGAACATTTCTTTACTATGTTCGTCAGGATTTTTATCAGGACTAATTAAAAAAAAAAAATAGATAGAAATTTATTAATACGAGTTTAATCAATTGAAAAAAGGATAAAACCTAGATAATTAACATACTGTAAAGCGAGTGATAATTTTCTATATGCTCTACCAATCTCTTTTTCAGTGGCTGCGGGTTCTACTCCAAGTAATGAATAAAATGTTGCATCGTCTCCTTCAAAACTCGTAAGTTGATCCACCAGATCAAAAATCTCATGGTCAGCTATTATAAATTTAATTATTATATATTTAAAGACCTTTTTTCGTTTTTTTGTCAAAAATACTTGTAAAATATTCATAAAAGTCATACCACTATCCCAGGCTTGCGCAATAGGTAAAATGATTAAAATCAAAAGAATGAAGATCGCACAAAACGGAATAAGACGATACTTGGACATCACTCTCAATAAGTATAGATTAAGAAAATCACCCAATTTACTTTTATCCTATTAAATTTTAAAAGAAAGAATATTCGAATAAATTACAACAAAAGCGCGATAATGTGGAAAAATTTCTTTAAACCATTATTAAAAAATTTTTTTTAATTTCAAAAGATTTATTCAACCAATCAATACATTGTAATACATAGTACTTGTATTACTTTAAAAAATTGGCTGAAAATATTCCGGTTACTTTAATACTGTAATAGGAATTTGTTTATGATACGTAGATAATATTGGTGCGCGTATGTTATTTTGACTAAAAAGGATAAAAAATTAAGTTACTTTGTTTCATTACGTATTAATGACCAAATCAATTCAGTCTTATTCTATATTTTAAGAAAAGCAATGTTTAAGTTGTCTTGTAAAATCTGCGGCATAATATTCAACATGATTAGATTCGAAAACGATCAGATAAAAATTTTTATCGTATATCTACGTATAATTAAATTATTCTTTATTATAATACTTTGCTATCTGGATGGCATCAATTCTACATAGCAAGTTGGAACGTATATGAAATTTACATAAAATAATAGAGACGATTAAAGGGACATATAGTACGAATTAATTCTGATCCGTTTTCATTCTTGACAAGCTTAAAGATATGTTTAGTCCAATGTCTACCTTTAAAAGTTCCAATGTTATTAAGTTCAAGAATAACCGAAATAATAAGACACAATTGCGAAATCAAAGGTTTGTAATTTCCATCAAGGCATTTATTAATTAAATTATTAAAAGCAACTTTTTTTTTTTTTTTGAGAACATTTAAAAATACGACAAATTCAGCGATAATTAGAATACTTTAATATATTTCATTGTTTAATTAAATAGCTTTTCCATTTGCATGAAACTCTATCTTCCACTTCTCACTGTACTTACTAGGAAAACGGGATCAGTTGGGATCCGGAGCGCCGCGTTAACATGTGATTTAGCTATGAAATATATCGATATATAAATTTTATTTTAGCTAACTTTTCAGCCAATCGGTATATTCCTTATGTTTGATGCTCGGTTAACATCTTGCTTTTTATTGTTACATAGCAGCAAATATTTTTGTTCCTGTGAGAAAAGTTAACATTGTTAAAAGAATTTTTTTTTTTTTGTAATAAAAAGATTCTTTTTCATTTTTGGTTACCCATTTTAAAGTGAAATTTACGAATATTTTACAAAAAAAAAAAAAAAAAAAAAAAAAAAAATTTTATTTATCAACAAATTAACTTATTTTTTATTCACATAAAACTTTATTTTTATTCAAAGGTATTTTATAAACTTTTATTTTTATTCAGAGATATTGATATAATAGCGATCAAACGATTGTATTCTACCTGGGTCATAATTAGACGAGTTGGCTATTAAATGTAATTTATCTGTTAATTACATTACTTTATACGTAATAGACAACGAACATTATTATTATGCTTAACAATTATTATTATTATTCATTTGAATTCGATTCTTTTATTTAAAGCTTCATAATATATATTGCTGTGTATATGTATATCAATTTTAAAGAATAATGTTTATACTGCTACTGATATAATTTTGATCAGAAATTCGTCTTATTTTGCACTTCGAACTGTGGTTGACCCACACGGAATTTTTTTTACCTATTGTCCAGACTTAAGCTCCTCCGCTATGCTCTGGAAATTAGATATCTATTTGATACGTAGCAACTGGAATGTGATCGACTAATTAGATTATACATGTGACCGAAACCCTTGAATTTCGAACATAGTTTTAGTTTCGAATTTTACCAAGGTTCGATTCAGGATGATCATTTCCTAAAATTAAAACCTTAGTGCTAAACTAACGCTAACGCTAAAGTCGAATCTTATTAAGGCCTTTATATGACAATCGAAATTCTAATTAAAGTCTTAAATGATAGGTGAAATCTTAATAAAGTCAACAATAAAGATATTAATTGTTTAAGATAGTATGTTTTATGATAAATGTAATCGCTTTAATGTTTTTCGCTCTTCTTTTATAAAAAATGACATCAAACGGACCTATAATTAAAAAAAAAGAGGTGGACGTCCAATTAGTGAGGTGTGGATATGGTTTATAAGAGGAAGTGAAATGTCTAAAGGATATTATTCTGTGACATGTTCTTTTTGTGAATTTCATTAGGCTACTGCTAAACCATGTAATCTCAAAAAGCATCTTGCATATGAATGCAAAAATGTTGATTCGGAAACTAGAATTAAAGTCTTGCACTTGTTAATTAAATGATTTTGTTGATTTAGATAATGATATAGCATCAACATCAACTACCAAAACAAGTAAAAGGCAAAAATTAAATATCGATCATGAATATGAAATATTTTTACTTCGTTAAGTAAGAAAGATCAAATTAACAAGATATTATTCAAAATAGTAGTATATTGTAATTTACCTTTTGCTCTTGTTAAGTATTTATTTTTTCAAGAATATACTAAAGTATTATATGCTACTTATCATATCTTAAGCCATTAGATTGTATCAAATATGCTTTTAGATCAAGAACTTGCTTGTGTTAATTTTTTTTTTTTTTCCTTAGGCAATTTTGCCTTTCATTTATTAAGAGAAAACATAAAACATGTTATAGCAAAAATATAAACTAAGTAAAACTAGCTATATAACTGCCTTTTTGACTTAAATCTAAACTCACTCAGCTGCTTAAAGTGTCTAGATATGATCTGTTACAATAACAAATTTTCTTTCTAAAAGAGTAGAATATCTAAACAAGATCTTACTCTAAAGATCTATAAAAGGTTGCTATATACCTGTATCAAAATTGTCTAATTGTTTTTGAAACTTAACCAACTATCCTTAATTCCTCCTTCAATCTATCTTTTAACTTTGTTTTCAGCTTCTTTCTGAATTCTTATTTCTTTATCTTGTTTTGATTCTTTAACCTCTTTTTCTATTAGAGTTTGATTTTCTTTATTTTCTTGCTTCTTTTTTATTTTAGTTTGAGAATTGTGTTTAGACTTTTTTTTCTTTTTTTTGTTATTAATATCATTTCTTTTCTTGTACTCTGATATCATCTTATAGTAAAATTTCTAAAACCTTTCAAAGAAGTTTGATTAGAATATTTTAGTAAACCAGCAAATAGCTTTGTTCACTTTAGAAGTTGAACTTAGACAGTCTTTGGCTTCTGTTACTAAACTTTTATTAGTAAGCCTCTGTATATGGAGTTTTCTTTTTTGAAGCCTAGTTTTTACATTTGAATCTAAAAAAATCTTATTAAGTATTTAGCTTCTTATTATAATTTCTCATTTAGAACTGAGCTATTATTTAAGCTCTTCTATTATAAACACTTCTATTTTTTTTCAAATCTCTTGATATATTTAGCATTCTGCTAAATATTCTAATAACTCTACTTTTGCATAGCAGGTAATGCAAGTTTTGCTTTTGTAAAGTACAGGATCCTTTTAATAGTATATATCTTTTGTAGGTAAAAGCTTGTTAAGGTATTTGATTCTAAATATTAGTATATTACTCTTCCTAATGCTTGTATATCCTTTACCCTACTAGCTTTTTAGTATACTCCATATATTGTTATAGTTCAAATCAAAATTGTTTAGATCTGTTACTCTCTGATTTAGTACTAGTTTGATGCTATTTAAGTTTGCTTATGCATTTTTATTTATTGTTGTTATAGTTAGATTAATAAAAGATCTAAGTATAATATCTATTATTTTCTTTTTCCAAACAGGGAATATTTTTAATTTACTCATTGATACTTCTTGAGTCTTGAGTATAAAGTTAGATATAAGACCTTCTTTCACTAAATAGTCTGCTTTATTATTCTATATATTCGAGCTATACTCTTTGACTTTAATAAGCTCTAGTTTAATTTCTTTTATTTTGCAATAGTCTAGAATTTGGTTAATTAAACTATGATTCTTGGCTTTAAAGTTGCTTCTTATACTTGTTAGACTCTAAAAGTTCTGAATTCTTTTAATTGCTGCTTTACTATTAGAGAAGATCTGAACATTTGCTTTATATAGTACAACTAGTAGTACTACTCAAATTGCATCTAGTTCAGCATAAGTTGAAGAAAGCCAGTTTAGTATCCTACTACTAAAACTTATACTACAATTGCTACTATTATTATCTGCTATAACCTAACCTATATCTATATTTTTGATTTTTTTATCTCCTAATGACTTTATAACTAGCGAACTATCTGTATATATATCTAACTCTTTTTTCCCTTTGATAATTCTAGCTAATTTACATAGTTCTACTTGTACCTTTTTATCTTTAACTACTCTATGTATTACTGTCTCTTCTATATCTATAATACAAATTTTTACATCTCTAATATCTCTACTAGCTTCTATGTTACCTAACTCTCTGTTTCTCTTGCAAGCTAAAACTAGAATATTTATATATAAGGCCTCTTCGTTTCTATAAACTTTTTCTAGCACTTGATATCAACTTTTATATTTCTATCTAATTATATAGCTTTGGTCATTGTATCTTCCTAGATTACAGCCTTTACACTTTTCTAAAGTAGTAATATCCTTATTATTATCATTAACTATTAATTGTCAGTATTCTACAATTAATGATTTGAACTCTTTTTTTTATTACTTTTCTACTTTCTACTTTTATTTCTTTCTTGAAAATTATCCACTCATTCTTTCTCTTATCTGCAGAGACTCTTCTATCTTTGCACCTTATTGCTACTCTATTCAGTGCTTCTACTTGATAATCCTTTTTTATCTTCCTTGAACTACTGTTTTCAAGTACTTTTTCCTCTACATTTTTATACCAGTTTGGTTTATATCCTCTACTTTTAAGACCTCTAATATACTTAACTTGTTGCTATGTTAACAAAGTATTTCCTTCATTATTGATTAGTTGCTCAAGTAT